TGCTGGACTGGGCGACTGAGCCCATCACATTCTACCCAGAACTAAAGATGGGTACACACATGAACGAAAATACTCCACACTATACAGATGGAAGAATCTCCCTGCTGGGGCTAATGTATTCTGATAGCTGCAGTCGGCACCTGTCAGAAAACCCTAACAGCAGGTGCTTATGAATATATGCAGATATTGTTTGGCTGGCAATTTTCTTCCCAGCTCCTTCAATTTTTCAAAAAAAGGGTGTTGGATGGACCACACCACGTAGCAAATTTAATCCAGTTCCTCAGGATATGTACAACATTTGAATAGTGTGAACCCAGCTTTAAAAATAGGGCTTGCAGCTCAAATCCCCGTCAGGGCACTAATTGCATGGAGCTTGCGTGTCCTCCGTGTGCTTGCATAGTTTTCCTCTCGGTACTTCAGTTTCCTCCAACACTCCAAAGACTTACTGGAGCATTAGAAGGCTCCTGTCTACATTGGTCTTAGCATGAGTGGATAAGAGTTAGGGACCTTAGATTGTAAACTTCTTTGAGGCAGGGACTTACGCAAATAGCTACATAAATATCAGCAATAAATGAAAGATCTACTCATGCATTCTCCTCCAATGCAGGTAAAAGGTGAATATTATGAATCTGTGTTAGGTGCAGCTGCTCTGGAAATAAACCGGTTAAATGAACTTTCCCTGCCTCCTACAGAACACAGTTGTGTTATCAATACTAAAGACATTAATAGCACGTTGAAGGAGGAAGAAGGGGAATGCAAGGCATATCACTCACCAGCTGTGTCCTAGAATGTCCTCTCGTTATATGAAAAGAGCAAACAGGGATTTAAAAATTGACAGGATGTACAAAGGAAAATCATTTAACAGCACCTGATACAGGGAAAATGGGACGGCATGACACAAACCCAAAGAAAAAAGGTGACATTAGAATCAGCCACCTGACGGTATTCGGCATTAATGAAACCAGAGAGAGGAAAGGCTATTTTTGTTTATCTTCCTGCTGCCAAGAAGAAATGTTACCCCACCCCCAATTCTGTGAAAGATCATTCCTGGAGATTTTTAGGAGACCGAGAAGATTCTTGAGCAGGCATATCGAGTCTCTTACACTATAATGAAGCTCATTCCCATGGGCACCAACAACTCTCCCCATGAACACTGCACACATCAATTAGCTATGTGGCAAGATGTGAACATTCCTAATATTACTGGGATTCTCAAGGCTAGTTTTCACTTGGGGGGGGGGGGGGGTGCGCTCTCTGATCATCCTAGAAACACTTCACTAAGCAAGTTTTTGCTAACAGAATGTGGTTTAAGGCCAGGCTCCATCTTCCTAATAAATATGATAGCAACTGCATGATGACTACAGTATGGCTGATGCACTCAAACAACAATGATGTACTTTTGACAATAATGGAGAAGTCTGGGGTGTAAAAAAAAAAAAAAAAAAAACAAGCATCCTTTCTCACCACTATGCTGCAACATTAGTGTGTTTACTCTGCTCAGAGCGGAGAGCATTGACTGTCAGTCACTGCTCTCCGCCCGGGACTCACTGAAACATCAGACTGGGGACGGGGCGGGTGCAGTTGACTCCGACTCTCAGCTACGTTCTGAGAGCTGGAGCCAGCTGTCAGTCAAGCATCTTGGTGGATCCCGACAAAATGGTTGGGGTCCTTCCAGTGCCTGGATTGACTCTGCCATGTCAGCTGATAGCGGGAAATAGTCTGTTATAAGATGACTCTAAGACACAGAAGAGCAAAAGTAAGTACACTCCTATAATCAACAAGAGAATTATGACCAAAAAAAGCTTTGGCCATAGCTCTCTTATTGTATAATTTTGATAAATTACCAGTAAACTGCCAAATGCTATGACAACTCACAAAACACTCATTAATGGAGTATGCCCAACCAAAACACTTTTTTAAATTTTAAACAGAGCGGAAAAGTGTTAGAACCCTTTTAAATTTGATTAACATCCAGGACTACACATACTCTGTAAACACCATCTCTAAATATTCTTAAAGCTAAATTCTTTGAAGTAGATGAAACCTACCTCTGCAGTGGACATGGCAGCATATTAAATGAAGACAATTTAAATTAATGGGATGAAATTAACCAAAATTAAACATGCACCATTTTAAACACAACAGTACACTACACTGTGTGCACAATTAATAGGCAAGTGAGTATTTTGACCAAATCTTCATTTTTATGCATATTGTCCAACTCCAAGCTGTACATACTTGAATTCTTATTGGATTTAAGCATATCAGGAGATGTGTATTTATGTAATGAGGGAGGGTGTGGCCTAAGAAGATCAACGCCCTATATCAAGGTGTGCATAATTATTAGGCAGCTTCTTTTCCTAAGGCAAAATGGGCCACAAAAGATTAAACTGACACTAAAAAGTCAAAAATTGCAAATAGTCTTTCAGAGGGATGAAGCACTCTTGAAATTGCAAAGATCACAGAACCATCAAATATTTTGTCACAAACAGTCCACAGGGTTGCAAGAAATGTGTTGAGAAAAATAGAAGCAAATTAACTGCCAAAGATTTGAGGAGAATCAAACGTGAAGCTACCATAAACCCATTATCCTCCAGTGCTGTCTTATTTCAGAACTGCAACCTACCTGGAGTGCCCAGAAGTACAAAGTGTTCAGTGCTCAGAGACATGTCCAAGGTAAGGAAGGCTGAAACCCGACCACCACTGAATGAGACACACAATTTGAAACGTCAAGACTGGGCCAAGAAATATCTGAAGACAGATTTCTCAAAGGTTTTATGGACTGATGAGATGAGTGTAACTCTTGAAGGACCAGATGGATGGGCCTGTGGCTGGCACAGAGCTCCACTTCGACTCAAACACCAGCAAAGTGGAGGTGGGGTTCTGGTATGGGCTGATATTAATAAAATGAGCTAGTTGAACCTTTTCGGGTTGAAGATGGACTCAAAATCAACTCCCAAACCTAATGCCAGTTTTTAGAAGACACTTTCCTCAAGCAGTGGTACAGGAAAAAGTCTCTATCTTTCAAGAAGACCATATTTATGCAGGACAATGCTCCATCGCATACATCAGAGTATTCAACTGCGTGGCTATCCAGTAAAGCCCTTAAAGATTAATAAATAATGACATGGTCCCCTTTCTCACCTGACCTAAACCCTATTGAGAACTTGTGGGCCCTACGTAACTACTTGACCTCCAAAGGATTTACCCCCCTTCCAGACCAGGCCATTTTTTGCATTACGGTGCTGTGTTACTTTAACTGACAATTGCGCAGTCATGCAACGCTGTACATAAATGAAATTTACATCCTTTTTTTACCCACAAATAGAACTTGGTGGTATTTGATCGCCTGTGCATTTTTATTTTTTTGTGCTATTAAAAAAAAAAAAAAACAGACAATTTTGAGAAAAAAAAACTATATTTTTGACTTTTTGCTATTAAACATGTTAAGTAAAAAAAAAAAAAAATTTTAATTTCGTCATAAATTTAGGCCAAAAGGTATTCTACTACATGTCTTTGCTAAAAAAAAATATGTGTAAATTAATTGGTTTAAGTGAAAGTTATAGCCTTTACAAATGGCAGTAAATATATACTGGAATTGTTTGTTTTTTTTACTAGTAAAGGAGGCGATCAGCGACTTAGTGGGACTGCGACGGGCATTCTGACACTGGGGGAACTGACTTGGTGTCACTGACATCCACTTTGATCGCCCCTCATGTTAACCCCTTCCTGCCCAGTGCGATTAGTACAGTGTCAGTTCTTTTTATTAGCACTGATCACTGTATTGCTGTCACTGACATCCCCAGTGATACCAATACAGTGATTAGTGCTAATAAAAAGCACCGACACTGTACTAATGGCACTGGGCAGGAAAGGGTTAACATGAGGGGCGATCAAAAAGTTAACGGTCTGCTGTTTTTACTGTAAGATGTGTGTGTGTTTTCAACTGTAAGCACACTGCTTTGTATGGCTCTGCTATGCAGAGCCATACAAAGCAGTGTGCAGGAGCTGACAAGGAAGAGAACTGAATTGTTTACATACAGTTCTCTCCGCCAGTCGGTAATGCTCGGCAATCACTGGTTGTCAGCGAGTAATCGCCGGTCGGAACCTGGCGATTGACAGCCGAGGCTACAAATAGCAGCGCAGGTAGGGCTCGCACGCCCCCTACCCGGAAATGCAAAATCACATATATAGGAGTGCTTTTACACACCCCTGCCCCTCTGTAGCAGCATATCTGCTATAGGGTGGCGTGAAAGCGGTTAAACGGGAGATTTACAGTGAAGGAAAACAGTACACCTCTCTCAACAGTGTTTGGGAGGCTGTGGTTGCTGCTGCACAAAAAGTTGATCATCAACAGAACAAGAAACTGACAGACTCCATGAATGGAAGGCTTATGACCGTAATTGAAAGAAGGGTGTCTAAATTGGTCACTAATTTGTTTTTTAAATGTCATAAATGTTTATCTATAAATTTTGAGTTGTTTTATTATTCTCACTTTAACAGATGAAAATAGACAAGTGAGATGGGAACATTTTCCTTTTTCATTTAGTTGCATAATGATTCTGCACACTAATAGTTGCCCAATAATTGTGCACACATAGATATTCTCCTAAGAAAGACAAAACCTCACTTTTACTTTCTTAAATACTCAGGTATGAGGTTTATTAACATTTTGGATTGATCGAGAGCGCTGTAGTTGTTCATTAATGAAATTGATCCTCAAAAATATAACGTGCCTAATAACTGCACACAGTGTATAACACAGAGTAGCCTGAGATGTGTTGATTTAATGACTGGACTGGCACAGCAATGGCTAATACAAATAAAGAGTGTGCCAACGTTTTGTGTTCCAGCAACACACAACACTGGAGAGATCTTAATGAGTCCTAAGATGCAAATAATTACAAACATGACAGATTCTCTTTGGCTCTATAATAACATGGTACAATTTTTTCCACTCTTCAGAAGATCATGCCAACGAACATTCTCACATAAAATACCTTGTGTTCTTCCTTCATCACTTGTTCTATGAGTTCACATTTCACTGGAGGTTTGGAGTACTGTCCAGACAGAAGCCCATAGCCAAATTTGCCCCTGTTTTGCAACACAAACAATGGCAGGCATATATAGTTATATAATACAAATTATTAGTAATTCATGAGCGCCAACAAAATGTACATATTTATCTTAAGATATTCCTTTTTTTTTGTTTTTGTTTTTTTATCAGACTGTGTCTAAGAGTATATGAAAGCTCAATATATCCCTCTACCTCCTCTTTATGTTCCTTGTTTCACTAGAACTTCTCTTTCTTATCTTCTCTAAACACTTCTAACCAACATGGTATTAAATAGAATTTTAAAACTCAGAGGCAGGTGGTACTTTGAGTCACACTATTATCATGTTACAATCACTACAAATACATTTTTATTCAGATATTTTAGATTAATAGTCCAGCGATATGTGATATTTAGAAAAGTTTTGAGTATGGAACAGGACTTTTTGTGCACAAAAGGTAAAGCACAAAAATAATTACTCTAAAAACATATAACATTTATAGTTCCAAAATGTTTTTTAAAAAGGCAAAGACAGAAGTCTTCTGTCTTTGCTTTTTTCTAAAACATTTTGTAACAATAAATGTTGTATGTTTTTAGAATAATTCTTTTTGTGCGTTAATTTTGGTGCCAAAATAGTCCTATTCTGTACTCGAAATTTCTAAATATTTTTTGGATGTGGCATTCAAAACTAATTGGCTTGATGAAAGAGTGTTCTATTAATATGTGATATTCTATGGACAAGGAGGTAGGATTGGATATACCCTGTTGAATGGTTATTGTATGCATCATCGAGTCAAAGTAACCATGCTCATGCTTGCCACAAATTCCAGTACTTGTTCATTTTTTTATCATCATGTGTTTGCATTGCTTAAATTACTTTAATAAACATAGATTATACAAGAAAACGTTTGAAAATGTAGAAAAACAAAGTAATGCATGCACACATGGGACATTTATAAAATGTGTGCAAGGTAAATACTGGGCAGTTCTCCATTTAACAACGAATATGAGGTTTTAGTTAAAGGAAAAAGTACACTTTTAACACACATACTTTATTCTCACTTGTGCCTGCAGCTTTCTTGATAAAGTCATTAGCAACGGTTACCTGTTTTGCCAATGATCAAAAATTGTGGACAGAATGCTACAAGTGTAGTGTGTTTACAGCATTTCCTGGCCTCCACTATAGGGAGCTGAAAGATGAACTGCTCATATTAACCCAATGCAGAGTCCTTCTCCTTCTCCCCTGCTCCCTCTAGTGGTGCTCAGGATCCACTGCTGCAAGAGAAGTACAATATAATCACGTAGATGTCAGGATGGTAGCTTCTGTATGAATCTCTTAGTTATTTACATGAACAGGCTGCTGGGACAAGAATAAAGTATACATCAGTTCAGAAAGTGCTTTTACCTTTAAAGTATGCTACCAACAAAAGGGTACACAGCTGTGTTTTATAATTATTAGGCAGCAGAAAACTACTCAGTTTAAAATTCTATTTAAGGCCTCGTGCACCCTGCAGCTGTCAAACTCCTGTTACAGGCATTTGATTTTTTTTTTCTTTTTGCCTCTTTATGTTAGTCTATGTGTCCATGCACAAAAAAAGAGAAAAAAAGTGCCTCTAAGTGCAGTATGTAGAACATTTGTTGAGGAACACAGTAAGAAACACTCACATCATGGAGAAAAGGAAGGCTTTGGCATATGTTATAAAGATGGAAGACATGACTGCATCCTCGATGTGAAAGCCATAGTCAGCGCTGGGGGAGAGATTCTGGATGTTCACAAGGAGACGACCGGCTCCTTGTGAACATCCATAAGTAGAAGGCATGCTTGAGAAGGGAGCACGCTTCTGCTTTCTATCGGCCTTGCGCATGCTCCGAAAATGCATCGCATTGCATGGTGGACTTCCCCACGTTATCACGCTGGCGTCAACATTGCGCTCCAGGGTGTATTCCGGACACCCATTTTCCAATACTCACACGTGCCGGCCGGCCCTTGTGAACATCCATAAGTTAAGTTATGCTTGAGAAGAGAGCACGCTTCTGCTTTCTATCGGCCTCGCGCATGCTCCGAAACGCATCGCATGCTGGACTTCCCCACGTCATCACGCTGACGTCAACGTCGCGCTCCAGGGTGTATTCCGGACACCATCTTCCAATACTCACACGTGCCGGCCGGCTCCTTGTGAATAGCCATAAGTATAAGTTATGCTTGAGAAAGGAGCACGCTTCTGCTTTCTATCGGCCTCGCGCATGCTCCGAAATGCATCGCATTGCATGCTGGACTTCCCCACGTTATCACACCGACGTCAACGTCGCGCTCCAGGGTGTACTTCGGACACCATCTTCCGATACTCACACGTGCCGGCCGGCTCCTTGTGAACATCCAGAGTCTCTCCCACAGCGCTGACTATGGCTATCACATCAAGGACACAGTCATGTTTTCCACCTTTGTAACTTATGCCAAAAACTTCTTTTTCTCCTCCATCACGTGAGTGTGTTTCTTACTGTGCATATTGCTCATACGATAGTTACATCTCATGAGTAACTGAAGTTTAATTTTGCTCAAGTTCTCATGAAATTTTGCCTAAATATACTTGACTGAATGTGCATGTAATCTGTGTGTGGAAGTGCTAGATAATTTATGTTTAAATATTGTTAAACATGCAGCAATTTTAATAGATTTTAAGTTGGTAAAAAGGTGAGCTTCTATGCTGAACACAATGTCTAACACAAGATATAGCCATGCTTGGGTTGAGACCAGCAACTGAATTGGGCTGCGCTTTAATGCACATAGCTGCAGCACAGTGATGTGGGTTTTAGGGGTTAAAACAGGTGAGAAAGGCAACATAATGCGATACGTTTTTACACCCAGCCGTTCCATTTAAAGGCAGCAGAGAGGGGTGTACACGTGCTGCAGCCGAAATGCTTTGTATCACAGCACAACAAAAATTGTCCCTGCTGTTGAGTTCAGTAGTCAATAACGTCCACCGAACACGGCCCAGTCAACTGAATGGGGCTGCCCAAAACCGTGTGCACAACACACAGTTGCAGTAAACTGGTGCAGGGTTTAAACAGGTGGTAAGGAGGTGATAGAACACCTCCTTGCCTCCTGTCAAGCATCCCCTGAAGAGCAATCCTAATGTGGATTGCTGTTTAGTTTGGTGCACTTAAGTAATCTTCTGCCTGCGGCAATTACAAAAAACGTTCCTGGACACCATTTGCTCAGCTGGGGGCCAGGAGAAAGAATCTGACTATATGATGACTTTCAGGCACAGTGAGTAATCCTTGTGCCGTGGTTCTGACAATCAAATTAAAGTCCAGCAGGCTGGGACCTTAATGTAATTGCCGTTAACTGCAGCACAAGAACTATTCCGCCCATGCCCGAAAAACAAGGGCTGAGCAAACAAGGCTCAGGAAAGTTTTTGTAATTGCTGCAAAATGGAGATTACTTAGGTGCCCCAAAGTAAAAAGCCCCACCATGCCACCCGCTGTGAATTGCAGGGGACCTAGGCCCCATAGAGAAGGGCTGGTAGAACCCCATTATCAGAAACCCTGTTTCCCAACACATAGTTGCCCTTCCTTCGATCCCACATCAATCTGTCCAGGGCCCAGAGTCCTATACCCAAAAAAAAAAAAAAAAAAAAAATAACTGTTCAAACTGTAAGAAAAACAATAAAGGAGGATCCAGCAGGTACCTACATTTGTGTGTTGAAGTCTTGAGTTGGGTCCAGAGGAGCATAGTCAAATATCCGTGTTAAGCTCCCTACGTAACTGAAAAAAATGAAACAAACATTAACAAAATGAGAAATTGGACAATCACTTATTTAAAGTGGTTGTAAAGGCTCAAGGTTTTTTACCTTCATGCATTCTCTGCATGAAGATAAAAAACCTGTGTGCAGCAGTCTCTCCCCCCCCCCCATTCTTAAGTGGGGTACACACTACAATCGGATGAGAAATTCTGCACGAGGCACAATCGTTTGATTTTCTTATAGTGTGTACACAACTTTCGACATTCAATTCAGACTTTCCAAACAAAAATTTCCAAAGGGACAAACTCCAAAATGTTTCATCTATGTAAACAGAACTATTGTTTTTTCGTTTAATGTGTATCATTTTCATATAGTTTTTGTAAGAGATTGGATACAAAAGACGGCACGTGATCAGAAACAATAACCAACAACAAAAAAGGAGCACCATCCTCAGATTCGACCGTCTGTGAGACATCAAGGAAAATTTTCTTATAGTGTGTACTAGGCCTTATACTGAACCCTATCTCGATCAAGCATCTCAGCTCTCTGGGGACTCTTCTTCCTCATTGGCTGAGACAGCAGATGCAGCTATTGGCTCCCACTGCTGTCAATCACAGCCAGTGAGCCAATGAGGAGAGTTAGGGGGTGGGGCCAATCTGCGGCTGTGTGTGTGAATGAAGTTAGCCTGCTTGGGTGCCCCCAGTATGCTCTGGAGGCAATTGGCAGAAGAAAGGGCCAGGAGCGCCATCGGGGGACCCAAGAAGAGGATTGGGGCCGCTCTGTGTAAAACCACTGCACAGAGCAGGTAAGTATAACATGTTTGTTTGTTTTTTTTAATTACCTTTAATATCACTTTAAATGCACACTTTGCTATTCCATTTTCAATCCGTCACACAAGTGATTACATATACTGGAGCATATACTGTATACATTGAAGGACAGCAATTAAAATACATAAAATTATTTCCAATTTAACTCCACAGACATCATAATAATGCGTTGTGTGTACTGAAGAAGTTATCATACATAACTGGTTTATATATGCAAGCAAGTCAGCTGTGGGTGAGAGTTCTTTGGTATCACTTCTACCCTGCTGCATCATAGGAATAGTTTGGCCAAAAGACAGTGTTGCTCATCCCAAGGTTAAGCAAGGTTCTTAAGGCAATGCAGAGGGAGATTTCTTTGCAAGGAATCTGGAAGAATGTAACAGAAGATCAAACCATCGACTGTTCCTAAGAAGCAGGTTGGAAATAATTACATATTTATGATATATACACCCAGTCTAGAAAACATATACCAGTTTTTCACTTTAAATGTATTTCTGTACTTGAAAATATATTTAATACTCCTCTTTATTTAAAAAAAAAAAAAAAAAAAGAAGAAAAAAGAAAACCTGGATGTTTCCATAAGCTGCTTGCCTTGCCCCCTCTACCTCCTCACAGGCTACGATTGACAGCAGCAGAAGCCAATGTCTCCCACCACTGCCTCCATGGCCAGTGAGGAGAGAGAGCCACTGCTCTCGGGCACAGAGCTGGATTAAGATCAGGCTCAGGTAAGTATAAAAGAGTGGACTGGGGGGATGCTGATCACTGAACGTTTTTCTATCTTAAAGTGCTTCTAAAGGCTCAAGGTTTTTTACCTTCATGCATTCTACGCATTAAGGCAAAAAGCCTTCTGTGTGCAGTATTCCCCCCAGCCCCCCCCCCCCCCCCCCCCCCCCCCGCAATACTCACCTAAGCACCCTTTTGATCTAGCGATGTGCACCGAAGTCTTGGCTATCCCGGGACTCCCTATTCTAATTGGCTGAGACAGAAACGGAAGCCATTGACTCCCACTGCTGTCAATCACAGCCAGTGAGCCAATAAGAGAGAGGGACACACGGAGTAGTGGGTGCCCCCATAGCAAGCTGCTTGCTGTGGGGGCATCCGACAGGAGGGAGCGGACAGGAGAGCCTGCGGGAGACCTGGGAAGAGGAGGATTCAGGCTGCTCTGTACAAAACCACTGCACACAGCAGGTTTCTTTTAAAAAAATAAACCTTTAGAATCACTTTAATGCAGAGAATGCATTAAAGTAAAAAAAATTCTGCCTTTAGAAGCACTTTAAGAATTTTTGATTTGAGAACAAGGTCCTTGTGTTTTTTACAAAGTTTGTTTTACAGCAAAAAGTACAAGTAGAAAACAAAACAGGGCAACTGTGTAAAGGGCTGATGATCTAGCCAATATTGTACTATGGTTTTCCTGGTTCAGTACAAGGTTCTGGTTACTGATACTTCCTGGTGAAAGGTCATCAAAGGGAAGTCTCAAAATCCCTAGGATACCCATTCTTTGGCTCAGTAGAAAAATAAAAGGTGCAATGCATTGTCCAGAATGAAGATCCCCCTGTCCTGAGGTACAACTAGGACACAACAGGGAGTCTCTATGAGAAAAGTGATACATTTTCTAAAGGATTCCAATATGTTCCCCAGGGGCAGACTGACCATTTAGGCATTCGGGCACTGCCCGAGGGCTTGGGGTCAGTAAGGGGCCCCATGAGATGCCCCCGGTACTTTTCATAGGCTTTTTTGGGTGTGGTTTGAGTGTGGGCGAGGACACAGGGGCCCCATGATTTCCTATTGCCCAGGGGCCCTATGAGTTGTCAGTCCGCTCCTGATGTTCTCTATGTTCTGAATCTCTGAAGGAGGGAGTTCTGAAGAAGGGAGATACTGACAACTAAGCTATTCTCTGCAATGCTTCGAGCCACTGCTTCTCTCTAAGTAGGCCTAGGTCCCTTACCCACGTTTCTTAACTTGATAGTAACAGTGAGTTGTGAGATCTGGCAGGCAGGGCATTTATATATATTTTAGATATGACCTTTTTTCACACTGAGAATGAGCAATGAGTGAGAATAATTCCAGGTTTAGGAAGAGTAATATCCGTAAATTTTTGTTGACTACTGAGAGCATAGTGGAGTTCAAGAGATCAAGAACAAAAAAATTGATCATGGAAGAGATAGCTCAAGTTGTAGTTGTTGGAAGGATTTGAGTCAATCAGCATGGTATAAAACAGGCAGATGCCAATTCTTTTCAACAAGACTGATCCTTCCAAGTTGATCGATTCAGGAAGATACAATATTTAATTTCCCATAGAGAGTTTACTCATTAAAAATAAATTCCAAATATGGTACATTTTTACATCCAGCTTGGACCAATATAACTATGTACAGTGTATACACCATACCTGGCCATTCCGCCCTGGAAGTTGGAAATCACTTACATCACTACTCCAGTGATCTTGACTTGCTTCCAGCTCCTGTGCTGAGCGGCTGGCCTGATGCATTGTGAACACAGGAGGTTGACCGTATGAGTAGGAGTACCACTAAGAGAATGGTTTGCATTTTCTGAATGAATGCAAAGTGTTCTCTGATTGAACGAGGTAGAGAGCTTGACGTCACTGCACCACCTCTCCACCTTGTCCAAACAGAAGATGCTTTGTAATTGTACACTCTCCCTTTATATTGTAAAGGGATGTGCAAATGGATTCCATTCTCAACTTCACCATATATTTCACAGAGAGCTGGGGCTTGCAGTTCTGTCAAATGTTTATCATTTAGAGGTTCATATCTAGTCCAAGTCATCTGTTATGATAGGTTGCCAGGCACGTTCAGCTCCCGAGGCCTCATTTATATACAGCCAGAGGGGGGGGTGTCACACTATGAATTTACAGTCATGTAGTGGCAACATGTATACTGTGAATGTTTAATTCTCATTAGTTGCTATGGGTTACTAAACATTATGTCAAGATTTGTGAAAAGGTATATTATTAATTTTTAGAACACTGGACATGGCTAAAAAATTTCCAAAGTAGGCAAGACATGTGTAGCATGTCCAGTCCAGCTGCTGGGGGGAGTACTAGATGTACTAGCAGATTTAGATATAATAACAAACTGAAGCTAAACTCCAGCTCACACTGCAGTTACAGCAACAAGTTGTGTTCCTTTTGGATAAAGGATATATATGAACTAGAAAAGCTACAATTTCTGGGGAAATTGTGTGAAGTGTTCTTGCCTCCACCAGTAGTCTACAACTGGAGTGGGCGGAGTAACTGGGTGGAGTGGCTGGAGTAACTGTGAAAAGGTTGGACTGGGCAGAGTAACTTTATGGAGTGGGTTAAAAACTCATGCAACTCACTCTACAGCAAGGGCAGAGAAGAGCGGTTAAAAACAAACTGCTCCAACTTGCTCACTTCACTGGCGGTTGCCATCTTCAAACGGTTGTAGTTTAAAAATTATAAATTCTACACCGAAAAGCTTTATATTGTGAGAATCACAAGACCCAGACCTACATTTTGATGCATAGTATGTCTCTGAAATATTAAAAATTAAGGCACAGTCGCAGTTTAGAAATTGCCCTTCAAATTTGAGGTGGAGTTTCAATGAATGTCAATGGGCGGCGTGAGTTGCAAACAAATGGTCATGTTGTTAAAACTATCAGGACTATGGCTTAGCCATGGACATTTTTAGTGGCAGCAGGGATAGCTGAACGTTTTAATATGAAATTTGTGTAGGTGGGCTTGAAAATGAGGGAGTGATGGCAGTTTAGAAATCATGTCCTGATTTTTCAGCTCACACTCTAGCTTTTGTCAGCTCCCACTCTAGTTTTGAACATTCCGCCATTCATTCCTATGGGACCAATTTTACCACAAAAATGCCGATATTTTGTGAACCATTCGGCGAAATGTTCCACAAAAGTAATAGCACACCAATCGGGAACAATCTGCACGTTTTGGTATATTACTGTCTATGTAGTGTAAAAACTGTGGGAGGAGTTAGGGTGGTAAATTTGGATATAATAAGAATATATATGTGAGATAACAGTAAGTGGTCTTGCCATGCAAGAACACCTAATAAAAGCGGATTATAGAAAGCACCCTGCCAGTGGTAAATGGTTTGTCTCAACACTCTAACTACTATATTTGCAGGAGAGCTTGTTCTGCTGAAAAACAACAGACTTTCTGGCTGGACCACTAAATGAAAATATAAAAAAAGCCTAAAAAAGGTAAACTAATGCAGCCATTACGTGTAAGACTTGATAAGCTGCAATATAATAACGGTTTGCTTTTGGGTTTAATACCACTTTAAGCAACCAGACAAGTAATAAAATAATTTTTTTTATAAAACAAGTCTCTATTTAACCTCATATTAACCACTAGTTTGCCCTAATCACCCCCAATTAACTTCCTGCTAATTTTGTTTATTCCAATTTTATTAACTACTAATATTTAAACTTTTTCATTTTAGATGTTTTGTTTTTTTTTATTTTTTTAGTGCTAGGCCTCGTTCACATGGAGTGTATGCATCTGTGCCCTGTGTGGGGGCGGAGTAGTCCATGAATCCCTGTGCAAGATGTCCCATAGCTGTCAATTTAAATGCAGTGGCTGCAGACACTGCTGCTGCTTCCAATGTGACATCTGTGTGGGTATGGGTGCATGGCCCCGAAGCACCCTAGGTGTGAACGAGGCCTAACATTAAAAAATTGCAAATTTAAAAAAAAAATACAAACAAAAAAAACACTCTCTTTCACCTGTAAAACACTTTACAATGCTTTGTCCCATAATCATAATTTCAGTGTCATTTTAAACAGGACTAATTATAAAATAACGTTTAGACTGTTTATGTTTTGTTCAACACAAACACTGGTCATTACACTGGTTCTACACTTTTTTGTCTACTTTTTATTACTTTGATATCTTAAGTAATGACAAAATGATTGCCAAATAAACAGGTTTATATCAGAAATGCAAAAATTGCATTGGTTCACATAGGGGGGTACAAGTGTGAGAGCTGAAGTAGTTAAAGCGTGGTCTATGAATAGAGGATAAATGCCTGATTTAAAGAACCGCCACCTTCATTTATAGATCCTGTTTCATTCATAGAAGCTGTAGTATAGCTTCTGTGAATGGAGGAAGCAGACCTAAAGTGCAGGCATATTCAGGAACTGAAAAAAAGCCTCATGGCAAAGTAAGGGAGTTGGAGCAACAGGACTCTGGCTAGCCACTGTATGGCAACCATTACTATATAATGTATTACAGTTAATGCTCCAAACAGCATCATGAAATCATGGCATGTCATCACAAGTCTGAACAACCCACTGCACATTATAAACACACAGCTACAAATAATTATAATAATCTGCTTCTGCTTATGTATTCTGCACTATGGTAATGTATCTAATACACACAAAAGCCTGCTCAAGATACTCAGTGTCATGAAAAATCATGACTGTCAGAAGGAGATCAAGGCATCACCAACAACCAATAGAAGATAGTTCAAGATAGTGCAAAGAAGAATTAAAGTGTTACTAAACCCACAACTGTAAAATTAGTCTGCATATGCAGTAAAGCATGCTTGTTATGCTCACTGTGAAACCTAAGGGGTTAATCTTCTGCATTGTGTAAAAAGAATGTTTGATCCTGACTTCTCTAATCCTCCCCTTCTTCCAGTGCCCCCTCTTATCTCCTAATAAGACATATCGTGTGGAGTCACTCTGCACATGCCCAATTTGGTGTGTATTGCTAGAGAGGTTTTTTTTTTTCTTGGAAGAGTGCACATGATCCTCATACGGCAGAATGAAAACTCCTCCTACAAGCTTTACATGTGCTTGGCTGGACACTGATAGAAGTTACAAGACCGCTCTAACTGCTGATGAGAAAAGGTATTTAGCAGTTTATATTTACCAAAATAATTGCATTTCCATGTTCGGTGTACTGTGGGAGATTAGATATAGTGAATGCAGGGTCCTGGATTTAGTAACATTCTAATTTCCATCTATTAGATCTGCAGCAATGAAAAGATCAGAAATCTGGTTTGAGACATTCAGCATATGCTGGTTCAAGATGGTTTTCTGCAACTGTATACTAGATTTCATTGCCAAGCTTCTCCTCATGGTAGGTCAGCCATCCTAAGGTTACACTATTTCTTTATGTCAGTCTACAGTCATATTTTTACCAACGTCAGCTTTCAGTAGTGTGACTATTCCTCTAGTTACACTGTGATGAACATAAATAACATGGCAGAAACTGAGCCTAAACAGCGAAGAGTGGGTGTAGTGTCTTCTCCAATACCAAAAACCCTTCCTTCATCTTAATCTTGGTATATAGTTACACAAAACTAATGTTTAGGATCAGTTACAGCTTTTTCAGCATTCTGAAATATTTTAATGATGCTCAATCATTTAGTTTTTCTATAGCAAATGAGAAGATGCTTTATTAACACGCATGCCACATGAAATGGTATGGCAACAGTAATAGCAGGAGGTGAAACTTAGTAATCATGTTAGAAGTAAACAGATCTCATAGTTGCCTGCCGCATCTAACTATCTACCAATGTCAATAAAAACAGGTCTAGAGGAAGAACTCAATGTTTTTATCAAAGTAGCTCTAACCCATATCATAAAAATTGTATAGACGCGTTAACATGTTGATGTCATTTCAAAAGTTGTTTTCACTAGTTCTAAACCTGCAGCTTTCAATAAAAAAAATACCTGGCGATCCTGCTAAAAAAAAAGTCTTTGTTCAGGCAATTCCCATTATAGTGTGACAACTGTCTCCCAAATGTCCCCCTGCATTGTCACTGCCACACCCACTCCTGGTGGAGGACTAGAAGCAGCCATACTGACACACAATGCACATCAGGAAGATAGCCCACAGTAATGATGTGCAGCCAGTACAGAGTGAGTGCATGCATAAAGGAAATTGTTGAAAGAGGTCTTTGAGATGAAAAAAAAAAAGGATTGACATTTGTCTTTTTTTACATCTCAGTGGAAAAAAATGAAAAGTTGTTTATACAGAGTCCTTTAGCAAAGCAAAGGTCATTCGGTAATAGATCTACTTTAATTGATCAATTAGCTACATATATAAAAGAAGGATAACACAGGTTGGATTACAGGATGCTGAAGTTAGCCCATTACCCATTTTAAAGTAAAAATAATACAAAAAAAACAAAAAGAATTGTCTCTCAGAGTTCCACATAAAACCAAATCTCTGTAAACTAAGAGGGCCTCTTTAGACTGGAAGTGACAACTCACTTAAAACTTGCTATTTAGTAGGCATACCACACCACCCCTAAATAAGTGCCAGTGGTACTAAATTGCTAGAAGTCAGAATAAAAGTCGCAATTTGAATGCCAACACATTTCCAGTGAGCTGCGACAAACATCTCCTCATTCTCTTCATTCTCTCATTCCGCATAAATTTATAAACTCGATATTCACTTCAATTATTCAGTCAAGTGCGGATGAAATAGGAAAAAACATGAATTTGCTCTTGACATGATGTGGTAATTGAAGTGAATCTTAACCCAATTTACTGCATGAACATTCTAAACGCCTTTAGTAAATAAGTCTTAGGGTATAGCTTTTTCCACATTATTTTTTAGGTAGCCCTCACTGAAAGAGATATGACCAACTACAAAGAAGTTCAAACCTGGCCAATTTATAAAATGATAGGAAGAGTCCACAACTCCAAAACCCATACGAAGACTTTATTTCTTACATAAGAATGACATAAAAACTGATGCGTTTCGGCAAATAGCCTTGTTCACAGCATGCTGATATTGTGAGCAAGGCTATTTGCAGAAATGCGTCAGTTTATGTTTCATGTCACTCCTATGTAACGAATAAAGTATTCATATGGATTTTGGAGTTGCTGGCTCTTCCTATAATTGTATATATTGTATCTGGTGGTTGGAGGACATTCAGAGCCAGAGCAACCGCGCTCAGATCCCGTTATTTAATCCAGGGTGTGTTCCATCCTACGAGCGCTGCTTTTTGATTTGTTTTGTCTATTCAAATCTGGCCAAAACCGGAGATATGGCATTCATCATAGGTGTCAAACTCACATATTCCCATCATACCATTTATGAATGCATCTACAATAACAGACATTCAATATCCAACTGCTAATACAGAGAACTATTATCAGACTTTTTGTTGATAATTGGTAGTCCATAGATGCTTCTTTTTACTGGTTTTTACTTGTTTTCTAGCATAGATAGTTTGTACAGTAGACCGGTTATTCTTCTAGAAATGCTCAGCTCATGAGCCTCTGGTTTATTTTTTTATGGTGGGAATTTGATTGCACACATATCTATGGAGGAAGTAATGATGACACTTACGCCCTCTGGAATTCTGGTATGCTGAAGATAACCTGCATCACAGTGCTGAGGTAAGAGCTGTTCCCCTGGTTCTTAATACCAGTATAGCCGGAGCCAAACATCGGCTTCAACTTCAGTCCAGTCTCTTGGATGATTTCCCACTCGCTGATCCTTGGTTTAACTTCAGTATCCAAAACGCCTTTCTCTGTCTACCAACAACAAGCCACCATTCAGATACAAATCAAAACATTTCAAATAAGCACATACAGCATCAACACATCTACAACGTTTATTTATTTATTTTTGTAGAGTTTTACTCCTGAACGTCTGCATTAATAGGAATAATCCGAAGTCTACATTAAATACCTTTACTAATATACTAGTGTGAAGAAGAACTGAACCCAAAATTGCTTTTTTGCTTACATTGGAATCGAGAAGATTTCCTTCCTTTCAAACCTTACAGCTCTCAGACAACCAGCATGTCTAAGAGCCTGGTCATAATTGTTGTTTTAGCAGATGCATTTTTCCTTGAAATCAATTAAACTGTGCATCAACTTATGCTTTGATTTTCATTGGTTTCAATATGAAATGCATCTCCTAAAAAACAGACAAGTGTGAATGGGCCCTAATAGATCATGGTCAGATCTTCAGTATCTCACCCGCTGATTTTCAACATACTATTATGTGGTATTTAGTAGAGGGTGGAGAATGAAGACAATCCAAATCATTTGCCTTTTAAGGGAATATACCGAGAATGAATTAAAGAAAAGATTTTGCCTGAAAAAGGATTTTGCCCTTCTGTAGGGTGTAGAAAACAGGCTGTTTCCGGTAGGTGTTCCTCTTTAATTTTGTCAGACATACACTATATTACCAAAAGTATTGGGACGTCTGCCTTTTTATTCATCTTGTCCCCCAGGTTCAGACATACCAGCCCCCAATGATGCATCTAGCCACACCTGCCAGCCACTAAGAATGGGCTTCGGCTGTCTCCTGGGAGATGTAACCAGAGTCTCCCAGTGGGTTGCAGGGACCCCTCAGAAAAGTGGCAGTGAGGCCACTGGTAAAAAGTGAAAAGAAAAAAAAAAAAAATGAAACAGCCCCCACCGTTCCCCCCAAAAAATGAAGAGGAGTGAAGTTCCACTTTAAGAAGTCTATTGCCAGTATAACTAGCAGCAACCACATTTATACCTGCCCAAGGTGAGGGAAGCTTTTTTCAACAACAGCATTTCAAATGACCTTATGGTCATCTTATATGTACTGTAAGTGCTAAACAGGCAAAGAATATTGAAAGTCCAGCCCAAGTGGTCAAAAGCAACCCCTCCACACACACCCACCTAGGGAAGCTCATGATTAGCCTGAAGCTATGATATCTAGCCGTACTGGTTAGTTTTGAAGTGCAAGAGACAGGAGGGAGACTTGCACACATAACTATGGTAGCTGGTCCAAAATTGAATAATCAAGTGCCATGGATTTTGGGACTCCTGAAGTGCTTTATAGGATATCTCAGCACATTTTGGTGCCTGCTTTCAATATCCCATGCCTGTTCGTGCTTTTGAACTGACCGTAACATACATTTACAGGATAATACATTTTTTATGAAGAAGAAACTTTAGATTTTATAGTGTAATTTCCACATCTCAAGAACAAAGGCTAGCCCTACCTTTCTCCAGATAAAAAAGCAGTATTATTGTTAAAATGGACAGCAAGTCCATACCCAGAATGTAAAGTTCATATCATATATAAGGTGAAGTCAGACAGAAGTTAGGAAAAGTCAGACATGTAAAAAAAAAAAAAACACAACAACAGTACTGATAGTTACCCCCTGCATCTGTAACATATCGATGCCAAAATGTGCAAGGTGTTTGGCAAGGTGGGGATCCACAACAGCTTCTTCTTCATCAAATGAATACACATCTGCAAAGAAAAAAAATGCACACAATTAAATTGTATCTCAGATAATGCTGAGAATCTGAGATGCACAAATTTACAATTGCATGAAACGGTTTGTAACATAATGTCTTAGCAGTGTGCAGAGTATTTAAAGAAAATCTATTTAAAAAAAACATAGGGCAGTCAGGAACATACCCATTACAGCTTTGAAGCACTGCCATTAGTCCTACTGGTTAGTAAGGCAACCTGTCATAGCGAGTGTTGGCCCTCTGCTTGTCAGGCTCGACAACGGAAAGTACCTACAGGAGTTCCCCCTACTAATCTTGATAGAATTACATCCCTGTGACTCCTGAATGATGGATTGGATTTTATCATTTTTTTCAAGAGCTAAAGTGGTTGTAAACCTCAAACAAGAAATGTGAACAAAGCATATCCCTCTATAGTGTGTATTTGTCTCAATCCATACCACTCAGTTGTCATTTCTGTCTGCTGCTTCGTTCCTCTGCTGTCACTTCAAAAGTTTTCCTGACACCAAGAGAAAAATGGTGACAGATTGGTGATGGTAGATTGACAGCCTCAGCGCTGTTCGTGTGTGCGTGTGTGTGGGGGGGGGGGTTTCATTTGATTCCCCCTGAACTGTTAAACTGACTCATGGCAAAAAGTATAATTCACTCTTACACCACAACATTCACCTACTGGAGGGAGTAAAATCAGAACTTTATATCTGTAACGTCAGTGACTTGGTGAGAACTGGAAATTAATCTGTACTTGGCCAATAAAGGACAAAGCAGCAAAGTTCAGCCCCTTTCACTTTAAAAGGTGCTCCTTCCCCTATTTTTTATACTGCACCCACTTAATATTTGCTACCCCACTGGCTTGTTTAACAACAACAGTGAAATAACTGGTACTTCTAAATATGAGGAACCACTTGACTCTCTCCCCTTACTAACACCATGTATTCTGGGTACTGGAGCAGAAAACGATCACATATGGGCAGGAGTAAATTCTAAACGCTCTGTAAGCACCGCCCAGCACTGATCTGGAACTTGCATGCGGCATTTTGATGGAGCTCTGTAATGCAAATAGAGTAGAAGGGATGAGAATCAAAGGCAAATATTGGAAAATGAGGGAGGGGGTAAGCAATAAGTGAACCAGCTACTTGATACTGCATAGAAAAATACAGGTTTATCTGGCCATTGCCTAAGCCAGGGAACTGTATTTTTAGAAGCAGAAATCAACAATAGCAGGCGCAACACTTCTTCAGTAGAGATAAACTTTGAGGGCCAGATTACCCTGCCAGAGACAACTTAGTGAAGTACTTTTTTCAAAAAAGGTGTTATAAGGCTGTGGCCCCACTTTCTTTTAGGAAACAAAGTATGCTTTCTAGGCATGTGGTCAATATAATAGTAAATACATGTGGCAGGCTGCTATCCTAGTCATATAAAAGTGCATTAAAGCAAACCTGCTATGAAAAGGAACACAAAGGATGCCACTGATGAGTTCTCATGAAAATGCTGGAGAATGCTGATCTTTGACACAAACTTAAATAAGACTTTCTTGGCCTGCATACTTGTTCTAGGCAGCAAATTAAAATACTAAAGCCAGTGGAACAGCACAACAGAATTTTCAGGCGGTTCCAAAGGTGGTCTTCATATTTCTGCAATTATGAGATTACTTTGAATCCACAAAACACCAAAAATTATAATCAATACATATGCAGCTGCACTATGATTACCTTACAGCAAATGTGGTACCAGTAGCCAATCTTATCACACAAGTGGACAATACCCTTAACCAACCTTGATATCAATCTTAGGGAATACGTTCATATATTTACAGGAAACTGTCATATACCTGCTCCATCAGGCGTAATTGATCCAAGCCTAACAGCCAATGGATAGCCCATTTGCTTGTGGTGCTCCAACGCGTGACCATTCCCTCCACTGCCTGAGCAGAACCACCGTCCACACAACACGGAGCCATCTGTCAGGTTTAGCCACAAGTTCTCTCGAAGTTCACATTTTGAACACTTCCAGCCACTGCAGAAAGTTAAAAATTTGTGGTCTACATTTGTTCACATACAGTGTTTTAGAAGCTGTTTAGTGCATAACATTATTTTTGTAAAGACACAATATCCCTGAGTAGAGTAGAATTGTAACCTTATTCAATCACTTGCAATAAAGCTCAGTACGTGGCTGATGGTTCTGATCAGCATATGTACACAGGGGTGTATTTACCACAAGGCAAACAAGGCATTTGCCTAGGGTGGCACTTTTCAGGGGGGGGGGGGGCAGTACTGCCCCTCGGAAGAAGGGATGGAAGAAGGGACACGTGCAGCACAGGGACTTGGCGGGTTCCGAAAGAGGCTGCGGGTTTCATGACTGTGTATGTACAGCCTGACTCTGATTCCCGGGGATGTCCAGAGCTGTGAAAGTTAGTGTCTCTCTCTCTTGCCATGGGGGCTGGTGTAAGGGGGACAGTGGTAGTGGAAGCAGGGGGGCAGTGATGTTGTTGGTCAATGTCAGGTTCTCTCTGCGGAGGGGAATTTTTGTGTTTCCTAGGGCAGCACAAAACCTAAATACACCACTGTATGTACACCATATGAGACCAGTGACCCCACTCGTTTAGACAAGTTTAGAACATTGCCAGATTATCAATAAGAAATTCAGCAACTTCTGGTCTGAACAGACTCTGCCTAATTATACATACATCTACAGACTTTGCTATCTAATGCATTCATGTCATGTGTGGTTAATATGGGTCAGCAACAGTAAACACGAATAGACTACGGATGCATTGTCTGTGCACCATTAAGTTGGTAGTGTAGACTTCTGAACATGGGCATTGGTCCTGAGCTTTTCTCATCAGCCTCTGTTATCATTTCAATAGAGCTGGTTGGAAGAGAATTTTGGCCACAATGATCAATGGTCAGCAAGCTTGGATAATGTGATATAAACTTTAGACATAACTCACCTTGGTGGAATCTTCACTCCATTGTCTATTTGTACAAGATTATTTGCAAACTTTGACACTTTTAATTCTTCTTCCCATGACTCTTGTTCCAACTTTCTATATGGAGACTTGGAATTTAGAACAGCATCGCAGGCGATAGTAACCTGTACAAAGAGGCAAGAAAAATAGAACTTGGAAAAAAGTAATATTCACATAAAAAAAATTATATCTTATGTTTTTAACTTCGTTACTAGGATGCTTCTACCCATTGATGTAATGATCACTTTTTAACAAATAGATTATCCATGTGAAATACTTGCTATTGGAAATGTTCGGTTATATCTGTTCAATGTGTGCAAAACAAATATCTACTGATCGTGTCAGAAATCCAGAGCTGTTTTGTGTGCTGTTCACATTTCATCTGTTATCCCAAGAAGCTCAATTAGTCCTCCCAGTTCCTATCTTGAAAATATAGATCAATGAGTCCTTATGTTGTGGAGAGTAGAAAAAAAAAGTTGCAATTCATTACTTTATCCAAGGACAACAGGGCAGGGCTGACACCCTTCAGCCCCACAAAAATTCTGTGTTTTCAGCCCACTGCAGGAATTGGGAGCTGAATGCATTTCTGGAAAATCAATATGTATTCTTGGTACTTGCAGTGTCTAAGAAATAAATCACGGGGAAATGTACAGGTATTGCAGAGATGTTTTTTTTTTTTTTTGTTTGCCCTGACATTCATTTGCCTCAATATTCTGCAATGGAGCAAGTATGTCTAAAATAGTTTTTAATGATCTTTCAATTGTGGGCTTATACTGACTGACAGCTGCTGACCACCTGTTTTTTATTTTTAATAACTCAATTATTTTCTAAACTTTTAATGAATTCATTCAGGAGGATACACACACTCCTTGGGCCTTGCAACATTTTATAGTGTTTATAAGTATTTTTGCTCAACAGAAGAACAAGAGGTTCCTAAAATAATCTACTTCATAATTCAACAAACAGCACACTTTCACTGACCAGTGCTGGCAGTTCCTCTATGTTGGGTAAAGCAATTTCAAAATGATCTGGAAATATAACAAGTTTAGCTTCATCTTCATACTCATAGTCATCACTGTTGAAATCAGGGTCAATTTCAAGGTCTGAAATACAAGCCAGTTAATATAAATACATTATTATGGTTAGGATTTTGATCAAATTCCTGTTAGTGTTTCGCCTAGCTGTGGAAACTTGTAAGATACTAAAAGTTTAATTTCCAAAATGTAAAAAAAAAAAAGTAAGTAGATCAGGTGGACATCCAGGGCAAGTATGTTTACCCTTTAGACACCATTTGCTGACACATTTCTAAAATAGCATAAGACCAAAATACATTTTCAAAAAAACAATCTATGTCTTCCCTGTCCACTATTGATGGCTATGACAAGGTAAAACCACAACCTCCCGTTATTCCCAATGCTCTTAAAGATACAATTTCCATTTGCCCATAAAGGACATCCCCTCACGGCTAAGCTCCTATGTCAACCGGTTCCTGAGCAAAACAGGAGGATAACATCCAATCCCGGTAGCAACCCTTACACCACCCCCCCCCCCCCCCATTCCCCCACCATTGTTTGAACCTGGTGAATTGATGCTTAGGCCCAAACACTTTCACAAAGGGTAGGTCAAATGCTCATGCCTCGGAGCCCCACTCAGCGAGGGCTCCAGCAGTACAGGGATGTGGTGATGAAGAGTGACTGAATAACACCCATTTAAGTGAATTAGAAAGTGACAGCGTCATTTTAAAGCAGAACGTGCACAGACAATATAATTCCAGGTGTTTAGTAATGGGAACAAATACACAGCAAATTGTAAAATTGGCGACAGGCTTAGCTTTAAGGGGGCCCAACCTTGTTTTATATTGCCTCACCCACAAATACCTCTATCATGCTAGTTATGAATAAGAGTGGTTGTACTATTTTGCATTTGGTACAGACCACCAGGATGTCTTCATCTGCCTTGATTGAGGCAGGCCTGCTTGTGTGCTGAGTTTTTAAAAGGGTTTTGGCCACCTCCAAGGAAACGCGGCACTCTATGCATGTATTGCTCTATATATGTACCACAAACAAAAAGAGGAAGAAAAAAGGCTGCACACCTAAAAGGCTAACCTCAAGGTAATTTTATTATGCAGTTATAAGCCATTGGAGACATGACAAGACAATCCTGCATGACAGAGGACTCCACCCCCCCCCCCTCCCCACAGAAGGTATGACAGCCATGGAGTGAGGATGGTCAACTGGTAAATGGGAGTCCAGTACTATAGTACACGGTAGCCAGTCTATGTGATAGAGGATACTGAAGGAGTATACCAGTGAGATGAACGTGTATAACCAGTCCAGCCTGTGATCTGCACAGCTGATATGACTAAGGTAGCATCACAAATCGCTAATACTCACAGTCCGATGGGACCCCTGGGCCCGTGATGATAAAGGCTGAAATAATGGTGGGATTTTCAAGTCCAGCAAAGAATCCCGGATGGCTGCCAGTCCTCCAATTCAATATATTACCATATATACTAATGCTATATGTTTATGCATTTATGTCTGTCATTTAGCTGTGTCAAATATCTGTATGGTTGGCACATCTAGGAGTCCCCGATGTGTCTAGTAGGCTCATATTCCATCTAGTGGGTGTTGGTGGGGGTGTCAATGGGCTGGTATTATCTTCCTCAGTTCCTCTTTCTCCTTTGTGAGGGGGGTGGCAGGACGGGAGGGTCCTCCATCTAAGGGAGGGGTTTCTGTGGGGGTGTTGGGGTGTTGGGGGGTTGATAGGGTTGGTGGGGTGGGTTGTGTCAAGGGTTGGGTCAGGTCAGTCCCAGTGGACCAATTCTATCCTCAGTCCATCCTTGAGGGTCCCCTCTTGATATCTTGGGGGGGTAAAGTCCTCTGTCATGCAGGATTGTCATGTCTCCAATGGCTTATAACATGCATAATAAAATTACCTTGAGGTTAGCCTTTTAGGTGTGCATGTCTCCGATGGCTTATAACTATTTATGGTGCATAATAAAATTACCATGAGGTTAGCCTTTTAGGTGTGCAGCTTTATTTCTTCCCTTTTTGTTTTTGAATATTGATTAGGTAGCACCCTTCCAGACATTCTGGTGGCACCTCCACTTTTAGACACTGTACTTGGGTTCCCCAGCATTTCCCAATTCCCTTTTCCCTGATTTTTGAGACTATATATGTACCAGTTTGGGTGTTTAGATATACGAGTAGGGACCACAATTTACAGAAGTACCTTATCATGGCAGTATGGCATTATACTGATTTTCAAATACTGTATATGCAATAAAAATCTCTAAATGTTAAGTTTTCAATGCCAGCTAGCTGGATTTAGTTACTGGGAACATTTCCCTTCCTGTGAACTGCCCCATTCAAATGTACCTGTCACTTGATAGTTAGGGCCCTTTCACACCAATTTTCTTCTGTTTTTGCACTACAAAAAGCGGAAGAAAAATGGATGACCATTAAATCCTATTGAACTCTTTATACCACTCAGTTGCAGGTCATTTGCATTTTTAAAAGCATTGCAGGTTACATTTTTGATGCGTATTCAAATTGATACCAAAAATGCACCTCTCCATTAAAATGCATTGAAAAGCATCAAAATGCATGTTGAGTCACATGTCCATGTTTTACAGGTGCATGCTGATGTCAAACGGAAATGTGGCAAAGACCCAACAAAAATGCATATGCGTTTTTAACCCTTTTTTTCAACAGAGCTGTGTGAAAGCAGCCTTATAGACATGAGCAGCTGTCACTTTTTGGGTTTGCTGTCAAAGCAGAGCAGCTGATGGACTTCTAGGTAATCGTGAACTCTGGAAAAAACAACACAGCCCAGGCAGAAGACAAGAGCAGTGACTGATTGGACATGCCTGCCATAGAATGAGATCAGCTAACAAAGGGGCCATCACTGCAGCTATTATTAGTTCTCTTAGAAACTCAAGATAAGAAAGGTTCCCGTTGTTCCTCTACTTAAAAGATGCCTCTTTAACGCACAAGAGTTTACTTTATAGAAGTTGGAAGTATTGTAATTATAAATAACTGAAGGTGCACACAAACCTGGCTCAACATTCAAATTTAAGGCTATGATTAAAATGATTGGAAAAGATCATTTTCTATTTTTTTAAAAACAACAAACATGTTTTATCTACTCTGTGCAATGGTTTGTCAGAGCAACCCAAATTCTCCTCTTCTCGGTTCTCCTGGCGACACTCCTGGCTGCTCTGCTCGCAAAGTGCCCACATAACAAGCGCTTGCTTAGGGGGTACACATGTGTGCTCACTCCCAAGCCAGCTCTGTATGTCCACAGACACAGAGAACTGCTCATCCCCGCCCCCACTCACAGTAGCAGGAGCTATGGCTCAAGGTTGCAATCTCTGAGCCAATGAGCTGCTGCTCTCATGGACATCACTAGATTGAGATCAGGCTCAGGTGAGTATAGGGATGGGGGGGAGGGGGTGGGGGTGGATGCATATTGAAAGGTTTTTTTTTTACCATAACCACTTGCCTACAGGGCACTTATACCCCCTTCCTGCCCAGGCCAATTTCCAGCTTTCAGCACTGTTGCACTTTGAATGACAATTGCGCGATCATGCAACACTGTACCCATATGAAATTTTTATCATTTTTTGTGACAGATAGAGCTTTATTTTGATGGTATTTAATCACCTCTGGGGTTTTTATTTTTTTTCTTAAACAAACAAAAAACCACTGAAATGTAAAAAAATAAATGTTTTTTTCTTAGTTTTTTTGTTATAAAATTTTGTAAATAAGTGATTTTTCTTCTTTACTGATGTGCGCTAATGAGGCTGTAGTGATGTGCACTAATAGGCTGCACTGATGAGGAGGCACTGGTAGGTGGCAATGATGGGCATTGACAGGCATCACTGATGGGCACTGAAAGGCAGCACTCATATATGGCACTGACTGGCACCGATAGGCGGCACTGATGCACACTGATAGGCAGCACTGAATGGCACTGATAGGTGGCACTAATGCATACTGATAGGCGGCACTGACTGGCAGCACTGATAGGTGGTACTGACTGGCACAGATGGGTGGCACTGAAAGGCAAAAATGAAAATACTACTATAGTAACCTCCTCTCTATGTACATAGGACCACCCTCCAACCATCAATGTACACTCACCAGCCACTTTATTAGGTACACCTTGCTAGTACAGGGTTGGAACCCCTTTTGCCTTCAGAACTGCTTTAACCACTTTACGTCCGCCCGCCACCCCAAAATGTACTGCGAACAGGCGGCAGCTACAGGACCAGCAACGTAGCCATACATCGCTGGTGTTATAGTAACACCCACACGTCTGCTGTGTCCACCGGACACAGCTGAATAAAGATGCCGGTGAACGGGGCCCGGTGAACATATGATTGCTATGCGATCACAATGACAACAAAGCTGTTATGAATCAATCTGATTCATAACAGCTCTGGTTCTCTTCCTGGTGAGCTGTGATTGGTCCACAGCTCTCACATGGTACATTGGTCCAATCACAGCACACTGTACCATGTGACCAGCTGGAGCCAATCGCAGATCATTGTATCATAAACTGTCATGAACGTAACCCAATCATGACAGTTCAAAGCAAACATTACATTGTAGGAGCAAGGAAAAAAGAAAAAAAAAAAAACCCTGATCATCCCCAGAGTACTACAATGGTACTATGGTAACATACTACTCTGATAGAAGTATTTAAAAAAAAAAAAGAAACTGTAAAAAAAAAAAAAAAAAAAAATGTTTAAAAGAAAATTTTATTTTTTTTTTTAACTACTTGCCACCCGCCCACCCGCCCACAGGCGAGCAGCAGCTTTGGGCAAAGCAACGTATCCTTATATCGCTTTCTATTTCCGAGTGTACTTGCGCATGAGTGCGCCCCCCATGCCAGTCCAGGGAGAGAAGAGAGTAAAAGAACTACATCTCACACACACATGCACACAGCACATTTAACCCTTTTCTGGCCCTTATTAACCCTTTGATCACCACTCCACCCAGCCAGTGACATAAGAACAGTGTCAGTATATAGAAATTTTTCACTGATCACTGTATTTCTGCCACTAGAGACATCACCTAGCGTCAGGGTCTGTAAGCTCCCTTCCCAATAAGGGTCAGATAGCATTCGATTGCCCGCACACTACACTCACGCTATAGGTAGCGGATCACCACCATTACTAGTATAGTGTTTGTACGGATAAATATATTGATCACGAACAGAACTAGTGCCTCCCTAGAATTAGTGTTCCCAAAAATGCAGTGTTAGCAGGATCAGCCCTGTTCACTGCCAGCACTAGCGTTTAGCCCTTCCGCTATTTTTCACAGAAGATTTGTACCAATTGATTGTGGGCAAAAGCAAATTATACGCACAACAATATATCGTTGCCCACTCAAAATTCAGCTCTTGCCAGACAATTCACATGGAAACCTATCATGGTTTCTGAATTTAAAACTTTTTTGGGCCTAACCCTCAACATGGGCATTACAAAAAAGAGTGAATTGCGGTCACTTTGGTCCACAGACCCAATTCATCATATTCCCATGTTCTCTGCTGTAACATACATACCCAACATGGACCAGCAATGTACTGGTATGTCACTGGACTTTGAGTGATGATAATGGGATGATGCCTGCAGCTACATGTTCAGCTTCTAATATTGGCCCTGGATAGTAGAAGCACCTCCCCAAATGACCCTTTTTGGAAAGTAGACACTCCAAGGTATTTGCTAAGGGGCATGGTGAGTATTTTGCAGATCTCATTTGTTGCCACAAGTTTTTGGAAAACGAAGAAAGAAAACGAAAATGTTTTTTCTTTTTTAAAGCCTGTAACGAAAATGATATCTGCAAAATACTCACCTTGCCTCTTACCAAATTCCTTGGGTTGTCTACTTTCCAAAAAGGAGTAACTTGGGGGGGGGGGGGTTTACTATACTATCCTGGCATTTTAGGGCCTCCAAAACTGTGATAGGTAGTGAGGAAGTGATAAGAGGAAATAAGCTCTTTGAAAGCCTGGATTGGATTTTGGGGCCTGTATGTAGCTAGGCTGCAAAAAAGTCTCTCACATGTGGTATCCCCATACTTGGGTGAAGTAGCAGAATTGTGTTTTGGGGTGTTTATCCACATATACCCATGGCGTGCGTGAGCAATATATCTTTTAAGTGACAACTTTGCGCAAAACAAGTGTTTTTTTTTCCAAAAATTTGTGGCAAAAAATAAAATCATCCATGGACTCAACATGCCTCTCAGCAAATTCCTTGGGGTGTCTACTTTCCAAAAAGGGGTTATTTGGGGTGGTTTTGTATTGGCCCGGCATTTTAGCACCCCAAGAAATGTGATAGGCAGTCACAAAGTAAAAGCTGCATAAATTCCAGTATATATACACCATAGTTTGTAGATGCTACAACTTTCACACAAACCAATATACATGTATTTTATTTTTTTTACCAAAAACATGTAACAGAATACATTTTGGCCTAAATTTATGACTAACTTTGAGTTTACTGGATATTTTTTTTTCTATAACCGAAAGTAGAAAAATATAAATTTTTGTTCAAAATTTTCGGTCTTTTTTCATTTATATCACAAAAAATAAAAAACCCCAGTGGTGATCAAATACCACCAAATGAAAGATCTATTTGTGTGAAAAAAGGACATTAATTTTGTTTGGGTACAGCGTTGCATGACCACGCAATTACCAGTTGAAATAGCGCAGTCCCGAATAGCAAAAAATGGCCTGGTTATTAAGGGGGTAAATCTTCCAGAGGGCAAGTGGTTAATTCTTCGTGGCATCGATTCAAGAAGGTGTTGGAAAGATTCCTCTTAGATTTTGGTCCATATTGACATCATAGCATCACGCTGTTTTTGCAGATTTGTTGGCTGCACATCTATGATGTGAATCTCCCGTTCCACCACATCCCAAAGGTGCTCTATTGGATTGAGATGCTCAATTGCTACTAAGGAGCCCAAATTGTACCAAGAAACTATCTCCCCACACAATTACACCACCATCAGCCTAAACTGTTGATACAAAGCAGGATGGATCCATGATTTCATGTTGTTTACGCCATATTCTGACCCTAGTTTCTGAATGTCGCAGCTGAAATTGAGACTCATCAGACCATGCAACGTTTTTCCAATCTTCTATTGTCCAATTTTGGTGAGTCTGTGCGAAGTATTGCCTCCGTTGCCTGTTCTTAGCTGACAGGAGTGGCACCTGGTGTGGCCTTCTGCTGCTGTATACCCATCTGCTTTAAGGTTCGACATGTAGTGGGTTCAGAGATGGTATTCTGCATACCTTGCTTGTAACGAGTGGTTATTTGAGTTACTGTTGCCTTTCTATCATCTCAAACCAGTCTGCCCATTCTCCTCTGACCTCTGAAATAAACAAGGCATTTTCATCCTCACAACTGCCGCTCACTGGATATTTTCTCTTTTCGACCATTCTCTGTAAACCCTAGAGATGGTTGTGCATGAAAATCTCAGTAGATCAGCTTTTTTAAAATATTCAGACCAGCCCATCTGCCACCAACAACTATGCCACGTTCAAAGTTACTTAAATCCCCTTACTTGCCCATTCTGATGCTCGGTTTAAACTTCAGCAAGTCGTCTTCCCCACATTTAGATGCCTAAATGCATTGAGTTTTTGCCATGTGATTGGCTGATTAGCAATTTGTGTAACCAAGCAATTGAACAGGTGTACCTAATAAAGAGGCCAGTGAGTGCATTTCACATCAGGACTATGAGCTGGCCATTGGGACATTCCCATTCCATCCAATAGCAAGCTGGAAGGGTGGAAAGGCATTTACAACAAGGAATATTAGATGGATGTGACCTTTGAAAATTCACCAAAAAAATAGTTCCACAGATTTGAACAGTCAGTATTAAAATGCAATTACAGAAATGTAATTTTGCTTACCTAAAAATAGCTTGCTATTGATTCGTCTTGGTAGTGTTCCACCAGATGCTCCAGTTGCTTTCTAAAAACCAAAATATTAGAATAAACCCTACATTAATTTTGGTTGGTATGTATTTAAATCTGTGCTTCTCATCTGGGTGTTCAAGCATCCAACAAGTCATGTTTTGAGGATTATCATTGATGGCACAATAGTAGATTAAACAGTTTTTCCACAAAAAAAAAAACAACAAAAAAAAATCAAACATAACCTGTTCGTATTGACTAGAATTGAAAAAACACTGATGTGTAGAACCATTAAAATGTAAATTCTTGCCTATTTTGCTTAAAATATTGAACCATAAAAACCATACTCTAGGTATAAAGTCAAAACCAAAATGACAATAGTATACATACAGCAATTTGGAATATACAAATAAAACATACATTGCACAGCAAATAGCTGCATAATCCAATTATGGTACACAATTGAAATTTAAACAAAAATTACATCAATGGCTTTTTTTTACCATTGTGATAATATGCTTCAAATTTATTATTTCAGTTCTGAGAAGACACCACTGGGTTGTTTCATCCTCACAATCCTTCTATGTCTAGGACTCTCCACACTTGGCCACAGCAAATCTGTTAAACTGTTACGGCTGATTTCCCAATAGTTTTTTTAGTCTACATGCACACAATTGGGTATTCAAAGTGAACAGGAATTTGCTTGTGGCATGACTGGATAACAGACATGAATAGTCATATAAATTCTGAGTGAAGATTCTCAATTCCTTTAGTAAACTGGCCTCTCTATGCCTCAATTACAAAATATTGTGAGGAGTAAGGAGGAGTAAGGAGCAAGATGAAAAATTTGTCTCGAACAAACACCTTTCAAACCGGTTAAAATTTTATCAAAAAGCTTAAAAAATAATACTAAAATGGACAATCTGCAAATAATGGAGCAATGCCAGGCCCCAGTGTTTAGACTAAAGGCTCATTTACATTTGCTTCAACTTCATCACACATAAAAGCATATACTGCTTCAACATGATATTTTTAATGTGTTTTGATGTTTTTGTGATACTTCGGTGTTGCTTTTTTGAAGCTGTAATGAAGCTTGGCAGATGCCCTGTGTGTGTTAATCTTCTATTTGTTTTAAACAAAACTGGTCAGTATTACCCTCACTCAGCAGATCCCCAGCACCTTAGTACCCCTGTTCAGCATTAGTACCCTCATTCAGCAGATCCCCAGCTCAATAGTACTCTTGTGCAGCAGATCCCCCCCGTTCAGGAGGACCCCCAGCTGTGTTGATGTCCCACTCAGTAAATTCCCCCAGCTTTGCTGATCCCCAGCTCAGTAGTAACCCCCTGCTCTGCTGACCCCCCAGCTCTGGTGATTCCCCAATCAGTAGTAACCCCCAGCTCTGTTGATCCCCACTCAGTAGTAGCCCCAGCTCAACTAATTCCCCATTCAGTAGTAACCCCAATTCAGCTGATCCTCTGGTTTGCTGACCCTCCTCTCTCTCTGGTCCCAGATCACTTCCCGCTATATTGCTCCCACACTGCGTACCACATGCGACATTGCAAGTTTCTCCTGCTTCGGTCCCTCCAAATACCTCCAAAATGAAGCAAAGATAAAGCTGAATAAAAGCCTCTCAACAGCTGCAGGTGCTGTTAGCGAGCTTTGTCATAGGAATCTATGGGGGCTTTGGAGATGCTTTGAAGCACCAAGAAAGAGACAGGGAGTATGATTTTTGAAGAGAAGTGAAGCAAAGCAAACTCAACGTGTAAACAGGAGTGTAAACTAACCATTTTATTTAGTGACAGGTGCGTTGATTGGCATTCAGAGTGCTTTAAAAAAAAAAGCTTGTCCAATGCCACATTTTGGAGAAAGTATAAACAAGCCCTAAACATAACCTACTAATTATTTCTCCTAGTTTCGGATGCTGGGACAATTGTTTGTGCCCAACCAGCAGAAGGCATAATGTGAATGTGGACACGTCTGCAGCTGCACCACACATCTGGCACACATGGCCCAGGAAGAAAAGGTCCTCTTGATTTATTTTTATTACTCCTTTTCAGACCTGATCAGATGAGACTCTCTGAACAAGAAAAATACATAAAGTTTTATTGTATTTATTTTTTCTTCATTGTTGAAGGCATGGGAACCTAATAAGTTGTCAGAGTTCATTTCAAAAAAGGGCTGATTTTTTTCGGAGACCATATAATAGTATAACAATGACTTAAACTTGTGCTTAGTGGAGTTCATATTTAATAAGGTAGTGCAAAGTGTGGTAACCTGAGAGGAAAAGAGTTAAGAGGAAACCCATGAAAGTTATTTGTTCATGAAGATCCTCACTTATCAAGGTCAAGGTATAGTTAGCAGTAGTTAGTCACATTTAACTGGACGTATTCTGTATTGTTGAACATGTTTTGCAGCTTATCCAAGCTGCTTCGGAGCAGCTTGGACTGAGTTTCCCATGTAGTTATTAATGGTGGGGTATGTTCCCAAACACTCAGAACTAAAATTGAGCATATTGGATAAGCTGCAAAACATCTTCAACATTGCAGAAAAAATCCAGTTGAATGCGACCAACTACTACTAGCCATGGGAGTCACTTGGTGCTGCATACGAGCACCGGACTCTGCTCTAAATTTCTAAATGTCTGCAATATGCCATGTTCTGTCCTGGCCCTCTTGAAATAAGTTGAACTGGGAGAGATCCTGAGTACTCATAAATTGGGAGTGTGAGTTGGAGGTGCTGATCACCTTGAGGGAAGAGGGGTGTTGGTAGTGATGTATCTGGTTGGTGGATATCACGGCTGATAATGTATTCAGGGATGAGGTAATCAGTTTGTGGGGATTTGATGGATGGCCTTGAGCCTAGGTTGATTAGGGGTGTCATGACCAGTCTGTGGTAGTTAAAGGGTGCTTGCCAGCACACATGTCAACAATGAATGTGCAAAGCACTGGAGAGTTTTGCAGACATATTTTGCTAAAGCATAATGAGATAAATAAAGGAATGCCTGTTCTTGCATGTGCACTAATTTAACATAGTCTAATGTATTGTATGGCAGGGAAATGAGTAGTTGCCAGTGAAGCCAATTCAAGTGGGCATTGTCTTATGTAAGATATAATAAAATAGATGCCATATCTTTATGATCTGTATCACTCATATATGGCTCCTAAAGTCCTAGGAGTTTATTCTACTGTTACAAAAGAACACAAAAACTGCTATCCTCTATATAATGTGTACTGTCCTTTCAGGCCCATGTCCAATTTCTGTTCAAATGCTGACTTAACCTCCGCAACGTCTCCAGAATATGCCCTTTTCTAATCGATCACACCACAAAGCTTCTAATTCACTCCCTGGTTAGCTCTCTCGACTACTGCAACTCCCTCATTGGATTACCTTTACATAGGCTATCCCCCTCTTCAGTCCATCATGAATGCTGCTGCCAGACACATACACCTTAACAACCATTAAGTGTCTAGTACCCCTCTCTGCCAAACCCTCCACTGGCTTCCACTCGCCCAATGAATAAAATTAAAAGTACTAACAACAACTTACAAAGCCATCCACAACATTGCCCCCAGCTACATCACCAACCTGGTCTCAAAATATCAACCAAACCGCTCTCCTCCCAAGACCTCCTGCTCTCTACTTCCTGTGTCACCTCCTCCTATGCTCTCCTCCAAGACTTCTCCCATCCTATGGAACTCCCTACCCCAATCTGTCCGGCTATCGCCTAATCTATCCACCTTTAGACGATCCCTGAAAACCCTTCTCTTTAAAGAAGCCTATCCTGCTTCTAACTTTCTCCATCAACTCATCCTCCACAGTTATTACCTTTTGTATCCCTTAACCCTCCCTATTAGATTGTAAGCTCTAACGAGCAGGAACCTCTGATTCCTCTTGTACCAAATTGTATTGCTGAGAAAACTGTTGGCGCTATATAAATGCTGTATAATAATAATACTGCAGCAAAAATCAATTCTGCATTCCAGAATCCCACAATGGAGTTGATTCACAAAAGGCAGATAGGCTGTTCACTTACCAGGGAATTTTCCCTTACTTAGCAAATGAGCTCAAACATAGCTTACTTTCACCATTCAAAGGTGTGCTAGCAAAAACACTTTTTTGTTTTAAAAAATTCTTCCTTGCATGTGATTGAATATTCTTTATAAAGTGAATTTTCACCACATTCACTAAGCTAAGAAAAAATTCCCTTGCAAAGTGAACTGCCTATTTGTCTCTAATAAATTAACCCCTGTGTGTAGAGCACTTTATTCCTAGGCACTCTGTTCCCATGTGTAGTACCGAACAGGTCAATCTACCTTTGTGTTGTGATGCCCTGTCTTGCAGCTCATAACGAGAAGGTTACGTAGGATTAGGAGTTGTTTTTATAACATGAAACTGTGACAGGTGGCTTTGCTACAGGCCAAGAATCTGCCTGCAAGTGGAAAGTTCAGGAGAGACTGCAACTGGTCTCCAACAGTTCTTACATTTCCGGGGTTTCGGTAGCACTGTGTAAACACAGGTTTGGCTTTTTTAAGTTAACGCATTCAGGACTACGATACAGTTTTAGAATCTCCATAATGGGCCACAAACGGCAACCCAACTGTTGTTGATGGTGTAACCATTTGCTGCGCCTTCAGAATATACGTCATCTGCAGCTGTTCTTTTTACAGACACAAATACAATAAACTGCACACAAAGGAGTGTTTTCAGAGTACATCTCTGCACTTTGGCATGCTTTAAAATGTGAATAATTCCAGAAATTATTAGCCAACCAAACACATCATATACAGGTTTAAACATGTAAAGAACCAATTTACAACTGTAAAAAGCTGGACAGCATAGAACCCCTTACCAAGTCATTAGCAAGTTAAGCTGGCCGTTCATTAGTAGATATTTGTACTAACATTTGTACAAAAAAAATTCAAAAAAGTTTGCTTTTAAGATTCTATTTTCAAATGGACTTGCTCAAATAAAAACCACATTCACTTTTAGAAATGCATTAATTTGAAGAAAAATTACCATCCTGCTATTTCGGATATTTTCATCACATTGTTCAAAAAGAAATATTGATTTTGACACATATAAAGAGTTATATGGTGTCCACATTTTACATATTGCTAAAGAACTGAGGATTTTAGGGGACTAAAACAATGACACTAAAACATACATAAAAAAAATATAAAACACTAGAGATGAGAGCCAAATATGTTTAGGAACCCAAAGGAGAAGAGATTGATAAATTAACCTAAAATGTAATATATTGCAGATTACCAATAATTAGATGTCTTGGCTACATTAGTTTTTTTTTTTTTTAGGCTTCCCCCCTCTGTTTTCACCTGGTGATCTGGCCAGAAACACACCTCCTGTATTAGAGTGCCCCCTCTATGGATGAAGGAGCACAGGGGCACCATTGGCAACATTTTCAGTCTTGGGGGAGGGGTGTGTTAGATAGACTAGCAGAATTAAATACACTAACAAACTGTTCACATTGCAGTTAAATAAAAGCAGATCAGTCCTGATCCAAAGCTGATTATTGTAAGCACCCCTGTAACTGGTAAATGGTTTGTCACAACACTCTAATTGCTACATTTGTAGGGCAGCTTGTTCTGTTGAAAAACAAAAGACATACTGGTTGGATCACCAGGTGAAAATAAAGGAAAGAAAGACTAAAAATAAGAAAACCAATACATAACAAATATTAGCAAGCTGCGATATAATACGTTTGCTTTTAGGTTTAATACAACTTTAAAGATAAGTTCACCTTGCAGGTAAACAAATGTGTATTCATAATTTATTTCTAAGGGGCCTGTAGAGTATTGCATTTGCGATCAGCAGGTTCCTGCAGATCGCTTTCTGCCTGTATCTCCTGTATGGACAGACAGTTTCTTGGGAGCAAAAAGATCAATGAACTAAAAGAGCACTCACCAGTGTCCTCATAGTTCATAGACAGCTACCAGCCATCAGCCACAATGACTGACTGTACTTGTAATCTATTCATTCGCAGGAATTTGTAAACGAATGGCACGGCTGTGTGGGCAGAGCCCCAAATGGCTGTGTTGTTTTCAAATTGTGAAAGCGGGTGCAGGGAGAAGATTGCTTGGCCACTGTCACTGAGATGAGGGGATAGGGAGATACAGGTACCGATACGGGGGGTTGTGTGTACTGCAGACAGGGGGGAGGAGGGGGGCGGCTATTTAAAAGCAGGAGAGGAGCAGTGTATACTGTGAGCTACCGCTAAATGTCACTGCCGATTTTTAAATGTAATTAACAGAATTTTTTTTCCTTCACTATTGCTCCAAGGAGCTGTCATTCTCCCCGCCGCGAAAGGAAACAAAGGGGCAGGGTCACTGAGTAATGCCACTGGGTGACTCCACCCCTTTGTTTCCTTTAGCGGCAGAGAGAATGGCAGCTCCTTCTCAGAGCTATAGTGAAGGAAAAAAACAAAAACAAAAAACAAAGCAGGTAATTACATTTAAAAACCCGCAATGACATATAGGGGCAGCCAGTGAGGGAGCCTGAGTGTATACAGCTCCCTTACTGTATACACTGCTCCCTTACTGTATACACTGCTCCCTTACTGTATACACTGCTCCCTTACTGTATACACTGCTCCCTTACTGTATACACTGCTCCTTTCCTGCCCCCTCCTTGCACACACTCCCCCTCCCCCCTACAAAGAGGACCTGTTACTCATACTATCACAAAAGGAACTATTGGTCCCCTATGTAATAGCAATCATAAGTTAAAAATAAATAAAAATACACATTAAAGTAAAAAAAAAATACAAAAAAATTTGAGCCTCCCCAGCCCCACATATGAACACATTTTGGTTTTCACCCACGTGCATTGTGAATTTTCAGTATCAGTTCTGGCACCATAATTTTAATTTTGGTGCACCACTACTAAACAGGGCCGTAACAGGTAACATGTTCAGGAAGGTGAACTTAACTCTTAAAGCATATCTATATAACTGAGGATTTACAGGAGCTAAATCAATTACACTACAGCATAAATATTTACATAAATAAAACTACAGAACTGGGAGCTAAATAAACTTTATGAGCCAAAAGAAGTAGGAACTGATAAAACAGATCTAAATTCAAATATAAACCTAGTCCACTGGTCCCACACCGGACTACCATTACAGTGCTGTTCCCGACTCTTCTAAAAATTGACCACTTTGGCAGGATCTCCTGGAATCCCATGGGCCACCGCTTCACTTCCTCTTCTGTATGTTAAGACACAGTTTAGGACTGGATTTGGGGCAAGGCTCTGTTTGGCTGCTCAAGCTATGGTAGCCAATTAGAGTCTCCAAACTACACAGGACAGGAAGTGAAGGGAAATCTCCCCAACAAGACACAGAGTGTAAAATCCGGGAGGTGTTTATCTAAAATGAAAAAGAAATTTGTGGTTTTACTTCAACCTCCATATGGCCAGTTAGAATTAGCGATGGTCAAGTTAATCTTATGGTTTACAAATTTGGACCAGTGTATAGTCAACTTGTATACACAGTAAACCATCTGAAGGGTCCTTCAAGAAACACCCACACTTTCAGATACTTGTAAATGTAAAGAGCAGTATCAGACAACAGATAAGGCAAGGATATATTCTATAAATAAACTTTAAAAGGAATTATATCACAAAATACCCACTGAAGTTCCTGGCTCAAAGGCTGCATACTAGGTCCAAGGCAGTAAAAACGAGCCTGAGCAGCTTCACTTCCAGTCACATCCCTACCTAGATCTAGTACACACACCAGGAATCAAAGAAAGGCAGCATACGTGGCTTCTCACACAGGTATTTTGCTTCATAAACAGATCATCTTTCATTTAAAGGAACAGATCATTGTAGTAATCTTACCTGTCTTATGTGACGTTTCAAGTGCATATAAACACATTGCCCTGTCTTCCGATAATGTCGCTCTACGTGCTCCCTTCCAAACCCCAGGAATGTGCTCATGCACACAAACAGACCGCCTTCAGATAACTAAAAAGTGGAAGGAAAAAAAAGACAACTTCATCTATAGGGAAAACCAAAATCTACATTATCAGCCCAGACACAATATTCAAGAGTGATAGGTATTGCTGCAAAGGATAATGCCTTTCACCAATTTTACATAACTTTTTTAATGTTAATTTTTTCCATTTCTTTTATAAACTCATTTAGAAATTATCACATTAAAAAGGTATACTGCAGTCAAAATTCAACTTTGAAAATGCACAACCAGCCTACATAAAGGATGCTTCAATGAACCTGCAAACCATGAGTGTCTAACCTTTTGAATTTCCTGGGCCACATTGGAAGAACAGGAGTTGTCTTGGGCCACACATAAAATACACTAACAATAGGGATAACTGATGAGCAGAAAATGTCTGGCAGATCACAAGTTAATGATCACCAATATAGATAATGTACCTGAGTAATAAAACTTCATTTTTTTGTAATATTTTTTATTATAAAAGTAAAAGAGGGCAACATAAAACTACAGGCATATCTCGGTTTATGAATTTAATTCGTTCTGCGGGACTTTTTGTATTGCAAAAAATTTGTAACCAGAAACGCGGTTTCCCATAGGAATGCATTGAAAACCAATTAAACTGTTCCGGCAGTCAGAAAAAAGTAACAAAAAAAGTATTTTATCTGTTCAAAACTCTTTATAAAGTGCACTTTAAAGGCATAAATACTGGACAGGGACATTATTAAAAATTAATTTGTAAATGCACTGAAAACCAATTAATCTGTCCCAGAGGTCAGATAAGTGAAAAAAAGTTTTATCTGTTCAAAACTCTTTATAAAACTGCACTTTAAAGGCATAAAGGGACATGATTAAAAAAAAAAAAAAAATTGTAAATGCATTGAAAATCAATTAATCCGTTCGTATTGTGAAAAAAATTTGTAAACCAAGCCAATATTTTTTCAATGGATTTTCATTCGTAAACTGAAAATTACATTAACCGAGGCATTCGTAAACCGAGGTATGCCTGTACTGCGATATTTGACGCGGTTTTTGATAAATTAACGCATCAATATCGGGTTTCATTAATGTAGTAGCAATTCTCAATGAATTCTCAAGGTGCTCACCAGGTATTTTGGCTCCAATTTTGCCCTTCGTGTACTTCAGCCTTGGAAATAGCTGCTCACAAATATAGGTGCTTGCGAAAACTGATGTCATGAAGAAGGCATGACTGTGAAGAGTGGGATATTTTTCTTTGGGAAGATAAAACTTAAGTCTAGTAAAGAGACAGTCAAATTTTGCTTTGACTGCATGTGTTTGCTAAATGTAACCATATTTCTACAAATAAATAAAGAAACATTTTACGTAGGTTTATGATTTTGTGCTGGGCTGCATTTTATAGCCATCTTGGAAACCCCTGCTGTAAATCATTCAGGGCATTCTAAAAAGACAAATGTTTCAGTTGCGAACATAATGAAGAACTTAAGTATATACACCAGGGGTGTCAAACTGGCAGCCCTCCAGCTGTTGCGAAACTACAAGTCCCATCATGCCTCTGCCTTTGGGAGTCATGCTTGTAACTGTCAATCTTGCAATGCCTCATGGGACTTGCAGTTTGGCAACAGCTGGAGGGCCCCCAGTTTGACACCCATGATACTTTCCCTCCTAAAGGCAGCAAAAGCTTTTAAAGTGACTTGGTACTCTAAATCGATGATCCTCAAAGCTCTCCTTAAAACGGGTTTTGTGGATCTTCAAGAAAGAGCATGTAGAAATGTAGCTACTTTGTTCAATCAAGATTATTCCATCTGGGTCCCTAAAATTCATAAAGCATGCACTGTAGGAGAGGTCAAAGGAAACATTTAAAAAAAAGGTATGGTCAACATTACAATTATTGGAGATGTCAAAAAGGAAGGTTTAGTGGCACACTTTACCAAAATGCACAATACATTTTCATTTTTCTATATGAAAAAAGCATCAGTCTAGCAATGCTACTGCTAAGGTTTCTCATGACACCCTGCAGACAGTGCAGGATTCTTCAAGCTCACTCAGAAAGGATACACTATATAAAAAAAATGTGATTATGCAAAAGGCAGTTTGTTTCCATGCCCCAACCAATTACCTAGATGGTCATAACCATTAAACGTAAGAATTTCACTCAACGTACAGAAATACTAAACTTCAGAAAAATCGCATTCAACAGTACGATCAGTAATTCGATACATTTTATTAGAAACCCATTAAGAAATTTTGTTTGATAGCTATGCCAATGGTATGAATTTAGGCGCAAGGAGAACATGCAGATTCCAGGCAGGTAGCACCATGGTTAGGATTCAAACCAACGGCTGTAGTGCTACCAGGCAAAAGTGCTAACCATTTAGCCACGGTTTATAAACACTGGACAGCAATAAAAGTTCTACATCTGTTCTAAGTGCTACTTCACTAAGCACAAGGTTTTCTAAACAGAAACCACATTTACAATTAGAATTTCATTCCTCTGATAAGAAATATTTTGAATTCTTCACCTTCAATTTTTCTTGTCATGAAACCAAATCACTGAATTGGCCCTGGTAACCTTTAGGAAATCAAGATAAAGTTTCAAAGATAATGGTTTTCTAATGAAATTGCAACCATGTATGGCAGTGGGAATAATTGGACTACTGAAAGATAAATGTGCACATACAACATAGGTGCACCTATTGACTTTCAGTGTTACAATGTCAAAAATGCCAAATGCATAAAATCACATTTTAACACCTTCCCGCCCGGGCTATTGCAGACTGTCAGCCAGGCGGGACACTCGCCGTTGTGATTGGGCGTCATATGACGTCCTGCCAAAACGAGCCACTCAGGTGGCAGCGGGGCCACGTTGCGGCGCAATCTGTCACTACACCGGGTTTGTTGCCAGTGTGAGGTGACTGCTGTAACCAATCACAGCAGATCACATGTTAATTGTATACAATGGATGGCTTCCTGTCATGCCATCCATTGTATACAATTATGTTGTTAGCTGTGACTGCCAGTCACATGATACAGACAGGGCCAATCACAGCCAATCTGTATCATGTGATCAGCTTTACCCAATCACAGCTAATCACAACAAAAGACTGAATGAATCAGTTTCATTCAGTAACAATGATTGCAAATATCAATGAAGTACATTGCTATTAGCAATCATAATGTGTTTAAAAAAAAAAAAAAAATCCTGATCACTTGCCCAGAGTAGTTCAATGTTACTATGGTAACATTGTATTGCTTTGGTCACAGTGTACCGAAAAATAAAATCGTAAAAAAAAAAAAAAATGTAATAAAAAATGAAAAAAATAATAGAAACATTTGAAAAAAAAAAAAAAATACAAATTCAATTATTATTGTTATTTTCACCAAAGAAATGTAGCAGAATATAGTTTGACCTAAATTTGTGAAGAAATAATATTTATTTGCAAAATTTTATAACAGAAACGAAGAAAAGTGCATTTTGTTTCTCAAAAGTTTCAGGTGTTTTTTTGTTTTATTTAGCAAAAAATGAAAAAAAAAAAAAACTCAGTGGTGATTTAATACCACCAAAAAAAAGCTCTATTTGTGTGAAAAAAAAATGATAAAAATCCAATATGGGTACAGTGTTGCATGACCACACAATTGTCATTCAAAGTGCGACCGTGCTGAAAGCTGAAAATTGGCCTGGGCAGGAAGGAGGTATAAGTGCCCAGTATGGAAGCGGTTAAATGAAAATATATAAAGCTAGTGCAACATTAAATGCATGCATAATCATCAAGTCCTAACTTTCTATCAATTCTTCCACCGTGAAGATATACACATCACCTTCAGCCCCTGCTCACACAGTGCGGCTTTGAAGTTGCGCTACTTCAGCGCGATTTCAAAGCCGCCAATCTGTGCAACTTCATGCACAGATGACAATGCAAGTCGCACATGAAATCGCACAAAAACAGTGCAGGAACCTTTTTCAAAGTCGCACCGGTTTGAACAGTTCCATAGCGGCAAACAGAGTGCAACTTGTCATGTGACTTTGATCTAGCTAGTTGCATGACAAGTTGCACTCAGTGCACCACTTCAATCTTCAACATGTGAAAAAGTACACAGAGTGCTCCACTGTCTCTTAGACTGCTTTCACATCGCTCCGGTGCAAAAACGTGATAAAAAAGTATATGCGTTTTTGCCGCATTTCTGGTGTATTTTGTACCTGTGAAAAAGGGGCACGTGACCAAAACCACAACCGCGTTATTTTTAACTAATTTTCCATTCATTTCAATGAGGAGGTGCGCACCAAAAATTCAGCAAACAGGGTTTTACAAAATATAGTGGACCTGCAACTGATCAGTGTGAAGAGTGCTCCATAGGATTTCATGGTCATGCGGTTTTCTTCTGTTTTTTTTTATTTTAACACAAAAATGCAAGATTTCAATATAGTGAGCTCAACTAGCACCTGCCTGTGACACAGCTATAGCGTTTCCTGGTCACACTACACTCGGCAAGCATCAGGAGAATGTAAACAATGTTTGATCCACTATTCTGGCTCCCAGGCAAAGGACAGTCCAAAGTAAAATAAAGCCAACCACTGTGCCATCACACATGCATGCAGCCATCATTAAGGAATTAAACCTTACATAATCTTCTCAGGTTTGATATGCGATTCCCCCACTCAGGTATAAACAAAACATAACAGTTTTTTTCTTTTAAACCTTTTTTTTTAACCACTTGCCCTCCAGAGGATTTTCCCCCCTTCCTGACCAGGCCATTTTTTCGGATATGGTGCTGTGTTAATTTAGCTGACAATTGCGCGGTCATGCAATGCTGCACCCAAATGAAATTTATGTCCTTTTTTCTCACAAATAGAGCTTTCTTTCGTTGGTATTTTATCACCTCTGCATGTTTTATTTTTTGTGCTATAAACAAAAAAAAACAGACAATTTAAAAAAACAAAAACAATATTTAATATATGAAAATAATAAATAAATTAATAGATTTAGACCAAAATGTATTATGCACATGTCTTTGCTAAAAAAAAAAATCCCAATACGTGTAAATGAATTGGTTTACGTGAAAGCTATAGCAT